GGGGCGCGAGTGAGGGGGGGCGGGGTGGGGCGTGGCGAGGTGGGGCGAGCCGGGCCGGGCTGGACGGCTCCGCGCGGCAGCCCGCCCTGCACGGCGGCGAAGTCTCAGAGTGGCATCAGGTGCGACCCGGGACGCGACGTCGGGAGCGAGTGAGGTGCCGGCGAGTGAGGTGGACTGGACCCGGCGAATAACGCGTCCTCTGGAGAATGGCAAAGTCTGGGTGAGTACGACGGGAGGGGACGGGGACATCCGGGGAAGTGGGGCCCTGACCGCCCTGATCTCTGTTTGCCACAGTGCTGCAACGGCTCTCATTTTGTTGAACACAATCACATTTTGATCGCAAAGGATTTTCCAGCCTCATCCAATAGGCATCGTATAATTTTATTATTTGTGTTGGACTGTATAATGTTCCCCACTAAGAACGGGTTGTCCACTCGCTTTAACACACCAGTATAATCAGAAGAAAAGTACGAGGTGGGGCACCCTGTGAGACACCCCGTACGTTGGGCGGCCGGAGTGAAATGTACACATTCGTTGTAGTGTCAGTGTTGTCGAGAGCAGGACCCGGGATAGGGTAGGTCACCGTCACACAGCTGAACGTTGCCGCAGAAAGACAGTCAGGGAGAGGGGAGTTGTGAGCTGTGGAGTCCTTAACCTGGTTCAGGGAACGATAAGGACAGAGCGCGTGGTCCTAATCAACGGCGCCTCCGCAAATACAACACAGAAGTTCATTCAGATATGCGTGAAACGAGCTCGTCTCTCGCGATCCAAGGCTGTATAGGGTCTAAAGAAGACAGCAGGAGGAGAGCCTCCGGGAGGCTTGGCCGCAGCAGTCGTTGTTTTAGATTCAGATCTCGGGGAAATACACAGTTCACTCGGACGAGCACAACTCGTGGACTCGGACGGCCCCCTCGACTCGTCTGCTCCACGCCGGCGACCAGTTTGTGACGTAGGGCGCGCCCGCGCGTCGCGTGCGCAGCCTGCGAGCGGCGCGCGCCTCGCCTTCCCGCGCCAAAACACACACAAGTAGGCGGAAATTGGAGGGAAAATGGCGCGGTAGAGACAGGACAGTAGGAAAGAAAGTTGTCGCCCTCGCAATCTCATAACAACAAATATTTAACTTGCTTCAGGTGTACGGACGGAGAAGGAGCAGACACCTCGCCAATAAGACTTTTGAAGAAAAATAAAATTAATTACTTTTTGTAACAACTGCTTGTCGGGAGCTTCATTCCATCGCGGCGTATTCCACCAAACGATAATAATAAATTGATCTCGAGGCGGGCCGGGGCGGGCCGTTGCGGCCGAGCGGAGAAGGCCGAGAGACTCCAGGATCCGGTCGGAGACCTAAACGAACGGGGTGCGGGCGGGTCTTCCCTCGAATGCAAATACACAAATATTTCGCACACTAATTTATACCGTGTGCCCGGGCGCGTCCGTTTCCGCGATAGAAGCCAGAAGCGTCAGCGACCGGGAGCACACGCCCGCGCACCCGCGCGGCCCCGGATCTACGGAGGTCATCCTCACTAGCCTCCTGTACTATCACTATGTGTGTGTGTTTTATTGGGCGGTGCACTGCAGCAACCTCTCCTCCCCCCTTCCCTCGGCTCCTTCCGCAGGCCCGCGGGTAGTGGCGTTTCGACAGAGGTGCTGACGCTGTAAATCAAAACGCGTCATAGTGACCCACATGTCCACATCACCCGGCCCCCCTGCTGACCCTGCCCTTCTGGATCACTCGCTGACGCTCTGTCGGCGGAGGGATTCGCATGTGTGGCTGTTCGATCTGTGGCGTAACGCCCAGCAGGCGGAGTCGTAAGCGCCCAACCAAGTTTCGGGTCAGAGTGGTCCGGGGTGGCTGAAGAAGACCCCCTGTTATATACTGCACCGCATGCACGCGTGTGGGCGGGTTGCCTACTCACCAGGGGCTACCCGTTAGTTGCCATCACTTGAGACAAGTTCCTCTCACTTTTCACTTTTTCGATTGTGAAGCCCCCCCCCCCCCCGGTCCGTTCCCCAACGTGTTAAATTGGGGTGGTGATGACGGGTGGTCGACTGACAGGAAGGGGAGAAGGATGAGTTCTGCCTGCATGTGGCTCAATACAAATCTGTGTGACGCAAGCTGTAGCGGTTCTCAAAGTAGTAACAACTCAACACACGACTATGACGTAGACGCAACAGGATAAAAGCACAGATGAGGCGTAGAGGAAGGGGGACGGGGGGGGGGGGGGGGGGGCGGGGGGGGGGGGGGGGGGGGGAGTGGCCAGGGGCGTGCAGCAGCAGCACGAGTTAGAAGGTGCGCCTAGGAGAAGACTACGAACTCATCAATCTAAGCAGTGGGAAAAACAGACACAAACAAACATATCGTTCACACCACACATTCGCGGAATGGAGTGCACGGCCCGCTAGAGCCCCGCGTCGTGACTCGCTACTTTTAATAGCGCGTCCGCGGCGGCGTGAGTCACGCGGAGCAGTGGGTGCAGCGCGAGGTGCAGCGGCACATGTGTCGGTCCGGACCACACCGCCGGCGGCTCCGCGCTGCCGGCCACCTCGCGGGTCAGCTGCTGCGACAACGACGACAACGACGACGACGTCACTAACGACGCCGGTGGTGCGTGCGCGTCGCTGACAGCGTGTGCAAACGCCTCACGGGGCCCAAGGACGCGGGGCGCCCGCTGTTGTGGCTGGGCAGGGCAGGGCAGAGGGGCCCGCGGCGGCGGCCTGCACTACTTTATGTCTCCAGACTGCTGCACTCGCGTCGGCGCGCTCATAAACGCGATTAGTAATTAAGATTATTCACCGGCGCCGAGCAGCGGCGGCGAGACGAGACGAGAGAGGGATTCTGATAAAGGTGTGTAAACGCTTTCAAAGACATCCTCATTCTGTTGGCAGCGCCGGCAACATGCTCGCGGCGGTGCTGCTGCTCGCGGCGCTGGCGGCGCGCGGCGGGCTCGCGGCCTACCGGCCCAACATCATCGTCATCGTGGGAGACGACTTGGTACGTATAAGCATGCAGAGGAGAATGATCGACCGATATGACGCCAAGTTTGGTTTACATTACAAAAGAACCGATCGCGCGTGCGAGATGATTGCGTAACGTTGAACGGGAGGACAGAGTCTCATGACAAAAGTAGTAAGAGTCTCACACTGCTCGCGTGGATCCGCGCTAAGTGCCAACCACGTGAGCGCGGCGCGGGGCGCGGGCCGCGTGCCCCGACATGGACGTGCCCGGCGACGGCTGCCTGCGCTCGCGAAAAACAGAAGACACGCCGGATTACATCGCTGAGGTCATTCTGCGACCAGATGCCCGCCACCGCCGCCCGCCGCGTGGTCGTTTGGGTGTCAGCCCGTCTCAGACGGCTTGGTCGGTCGCGCTTCCGTCCAAAGGCGCTAAACTATGCCACAGCAGCGGCGCGGCCTCTTGTCTTTTGACGTCGTTCTGCTCGCGGACACAATGGCGTTTGGCCGTCAGAAGAGGAGGAGGAATTCCCCCGCATGCACCAGTAGCGCGACACACGGGTCCCCGTTGCTGTACGCTGTACAACATGCCCGGTAATAAACACGTTGTTGCTGACCGCAGGGCTGGAACGACCTGAGCTTCCACGGCTCCGATGAGATTCCCACGCCCAACATCGACGCCCTGGCGTACAACGGCGCCATCCTTAACCAGCACTACGTGCAGCCCATCTGCTCCCCCAGCAGGGCTGCCCTGCTCACCGGGATGTACCCCATCCACACGGGTGAGTGCGCGGCCCCGGGAGGTCACCGGGGCGGTCCTCATCCTGTTGACCACGCTAACCCTCCCCGTGCGCAGGCATGCAGGGCCAGCCCATCCTGGAGTCGGAGCCCCGCGCGCTGCCGCTGGGCCACACGCTGCTGCCCGAGTACCTGCAGCAGCTGGGCTACGTGACGCACGGCATCGGCAAGTGGCACCTGGGCTTCTACCGCAAGGAGTTCCTGCCCACCCGCCGGGGCTTCGACACCTTCCTGGGCTACTACAATGGCATCGTCAGCTACTACGACCACATCTTGGAAGGCTCGGTAGGTCGCCGTCGGTAAGTAGCTCTCCCCTCCTTCGCGCTCGTATCACTGATCCTGCTCACGCCCGTCCAGTACCCGGGCTACGGCTGGCTGGGCGGCTACGACATGCGGCGCAACGAGAGCGTCGCCTGGGACCTGCAGGGCCGCTACGCCACGGACGTGTTCACCGACGAGGCCGTCGACATCATCCGGGCGCACGACCAGCGACTGCCGCTCTTCATGTACCTGGCGCACCTGGCCGTGCACGCGGGCAACGCGGGCAAGCTGCTCGAGGCGCCGCAGGAGGAGATCGACAAGTTCCGGCACATCGCCAACCCCAACCGCCGGACGTACGCGGGTAAGTGATTCGAGCCGGTGCGTTCACGGCGAGCGCCGGGCAGGTAGGCAAACCCTCTGGCACGGGCGCCGTAGCGTGGCCGGGCCGCACGGCGCTCGTGACACAAGTCTGTCTTCCCGCAGCCATGGTGTCCAAGCTGGACCAGTCGGTGGGCAGCGTGGTGGCCGCGCTGCAGGCGCGAGGCATGCTCGAGAGCTCCATCATCCTCTTCATGTCGGACAACGGCGCGCCCACCACCCAGGACCCCTACCCTAACTGGGGCTCTAACGCCCCCCACCGAGGGGTGAGTACTGAGAAAGAGGATGCTCCCGAACCAAACCTTGGCTCGACCCCACCGTAACCTGTTGCTCCTCGTCCGCCAGCAAAAGGGCACGCTCTGGGAGGGTGCGGTGAGGGGTGCGGCCCTGATCTGGAGCCCACTGCTGAACCGCCGGCCGCGCGTGTCCTTCGAGCTGATGCACGTGACCGACTGGCTGCCCACCCTGTACAACGCGGCGGGCGGCCGCCCCTACGACCTGCCGCCCGACCTGGACGGCGTCGACCAGTGGACCAGCCTCGCCAACGACCTGCCGTCGCGCCGGTCCGAGATCCTCCTCAACATCGACGAGCGGGCCAGGAACGCGGCCGTGCGCCAAAACAACTGGAAGCTCGTCATCGGTACGTAGTGAGCGTGTGGGCGGCGCGGCGGGCGGCCTGGTGGGCGCTTTACATATATCCCAGTGGTACTTCCGGGTCCTTATCTATCTCGCACTGAGCTAATAAGAACGTTACCCACAACAAACAAACACAAAACCAAACAAAACTAACGACAAAACGACCCAACACGTATGCAAAGAGAGGAGGGGCAGGACGTGGCTATCTGCGCGCCATTATCGCACACACGCCCAGAGGCGAACGGACTCCTCGCGGTGGCGCAGTGGCGGTGCGGAAATAATTTGAACACAATACAACTAGTGCGGCGGGCTGGAGGAGGCACTGGCCGGCCAGGCGCGATCACTGACTGCGCGCGGGCGCGAGGGCGGGCGCCGGGGGAAGGGGCGGGGGCGCCGTGACCTCGGCGCGACGCGACGGCCTTCCCACGGGCCTCGCCCCGCGGCTTGCCCGCGCCCGCCCTGGACCTGGACGGGATGGTCGGGCCATTAGCAGGTCGTATGCAGCGCCGCGCCACCGGCCGCACGAGTCGCGTCGGAACAAAGGAACACGAGTCCCGAAAACGCCTCTGCGGGAGTTCGCGTCTTGTGACAGTGTCACCCGAATTATGTTTGCAGGTCAGGCAGAGGGCGGCAAGTACGACGGCTACGTGGGCTCGTCCGGGTCCCGGACAGACCCGCCGTTCAACTTCTCGGCCGTGCTGAGCAGCCCCGCGGGCCGCTCGCTGGCGCAACACTCGGCGCGCTCCGGCTGGCCCGTGTCCCGCGAGTACGCCATGGCGGGGCTGCGCGCGCGCGCCCAGGTGCGCTGCGGCCCCACGCTCGTCGCCAAGCCCTGCGACCCGGCCCCAACCGCCGACAAGCAGTGCCTGTACGACGTGCAGAACGACCCCTGCGAGAAGAACAACCTGGCCGACATCTACCCGACGGTGGCGCGCGCGCTCAAGCGCACCCTGGTCCGCTACCGGGCGGGGCTGGTTCCGCAGCCCAACGCGCCCCTGGACCCCGCCGCCGCCGACCCCAAGCGCTTCGGCGGCGTGTGGTCGCCCTGGCAGGACGGGCCGCCGAGCGACGCGCTGCAGGAGGAGGCGCCCGCCACGCCGTCGGAGCAGGGCGACGCCGAGCAGCCAGCCGAGCAGCCCGCGGAGCAGCCCCCCGCGCCCGCCGAGGACAAGCCGGCCGCCGACAAGCAGACCCCCACCAAGCCACCCAAGGCCAGCAAGGCTGGCAACAAGTCGGGGGCCGGGCGACCAGCGGCCGCGCCAGCCAAGCCCAAGGAACCCGCGCCCGCCGAGGAGGAGGACGTCACCACGGACGACTCGTCCTGACCCCTCAGGATCGCACTACGCACCGACCGCTCCGCCGAAAAGGGGTGACAAAGAATTCGATGACTGAACGAGAGGAGGGGGCAAAAGACATCATTTTGACAGTGGGAAACTCTACGTTTAATGACATTACTATTAAAAAAAATTAACAAGAAAATGTGCACAAAAATTCATTGTTTTTACGCACTGACTTCTCTTATCTGTGATAATAATGTTTCTTTGTAATGTTGTTTAGTTGATAAAGTTAGGGATTAGCACGCTAAGCTAAGGGGCTCCAATTTTCTGCGAGCCCCCTCGTTCAAAACGTGTATAGAGTACATATCACCCAGCTCCGTGACCGTAAAGGCTACAACGCACTCAACATCGTGCCGCCATTCTGTAACGAGTAACGACTTTCACTGCCATAATGAAACTGACAACGCCGCCCACGAGGCACGTTATTTACACCTGTTTTGGGAGTGCAACTGGGTCGCAAAAGATGGTGGCAGATCAGTTTGCCGTGTTTGTTTCGTCAGCCCCATCGTTATAAACCTTTTTGAAGTTGAAGTTATCTACGATGATGCGGCCCAAAATTAAGAAACATCATGTGGCTGTGGGTCCTGGATTCACCAAAGATAACTATTGCAGTGTTTTGCTGTTTCATACATAATGAGTCCCTTTCAATTTATTTAAAAGGTTTGCTCGAAGTGAAAAAGAATGGACGTCAAAGTTCCACAATAATATTTCGTAATAATTCCATGCAAAATATAGCGGTAATAAGTTATGTATTTCCATTTGATGGCAGCCCAAGCCTCACCATAGTAGTATTTATTTTTTGAAAGAATTAACGCACTTGAACCATGTACAGACCTAATTCGTAGCAGCACCGTAAAAAAATTAATAACTTACCTGTACAAAGTATGTGATATTGTTTTATTCCCAACGTTTATTTCTACTATTTCAACACCAATCCTCACATCAACTTAGGGCTATCAGGATATTGTCCGATATCGAGGGCTCGATATTCTCCTGATATCGATGTTGAAATATCGGGGTTTCTCGATACCCTGAAATATCGCGATCGGAAATTTTCAGACATCTTGTTCCGCAATATGGTTCGATATTGCGATATCACTCGATATTATCTACACTGTAAAAAATATTAGGGATTTTGCAATCCAGTAGGCCGGGAATTTGCAACAATAGGTTGGGCATTTCCCTTTTGGGCTGGAAAGAAGCCCTTGCATGCCCTTTGGGCTGTGAAGGTATCCTCTGTATGCCCAGGTCTGTAAACTTACAGTAAAATGTGGCCACGAAATTTCAAGCACTGGTGGAAAATTTACCTGGTGGGCAGGGAAGGGCTGACTTCTCTGCCCACCCGCGAGGGATTTCGCAGCCCGTGGGCAGGAAAGGGAACTCCCGCAGACCACGGACAGTAAATATCCCTGCATCGGCTGCAAATTTCCTCGCCGTAGGAAGGAGATTTTCGCGTGGCTTGCGGGAAAAGGAGTCTTTCACAGCCCACTGATAGTAAAATTCAGATGAAGTGTTGATTTCGCGAGAATCGGCACAACGGGTCCTAAAGGCTACCGCGGAACTCAGGGGACTGAGGTGGTTGTATTAAAAGCTCTGTCACACTTCGGTAAGACTTGCATAGGATTGCGTACTGCGATGAACTGCCGCTAGATGGCGTTGCTGTAAGCGCCTGCCGTACCAAACCAGATATTTGCGTTAAATTTGAATATCCTCAACAAACTTACTTTCTTTTTTACGCGGCATGTTTCATAAGCAGTCGCACTAACCGACAACGATGGGTATTTGTTCAAAAAGTCAACCATATTCCAGAAATAATCTGTTAAATTCTAACTCTCGGAGGTCCCCACAACGACGCCTTGTACACTACGGCACCGTCCACCTCGTCCCTCAGGGGTGCGCCTCTATGCGTACTTCCTCTGGCAGCAGTGACTGATGAAGTCGTTGTTAGGTCCTGTGTTACTTACATTGGCCAATTTTCAGATTTTTGAGCTGATCGTAGAAATTGCCGATTGGCGGAAATAGTCCTGCCTGTGCCTGGGAGCAGAGCTGCCATGCGCTGGTGCAATCCTCACTTTTTTACAAGATTAACCTGAGAATTACAATTCCTCGCTTTGACATGCCAACAAATGCCCGTTCTATCCGTGTGGCAACGCAGCTAAACCCTCCGCGGGCTGGAAATTCGCAGTTGGTGGGCAGGAAAGGCATCTCAACTGGCGCCGGCCTGCGACTTTGCAGTTCAGGGGCAGTGCGAGCTCCTTTCCCGCCCACGGAGTTAATTTACTTGGTGGGCTAACGGAGACACCTTTCCCGGCCAGTGGTGCTTGTGACTTCGCAGTCGGTGGGCAGGAAATCCACTTGCCGCATAGGCGTGTGGATTCCCGGTACATCACCGAGAAGGGGGCGTTGCCACCCCGGGTAGGTAAAATTCACTCTAGTTTTTTTTACAGTGTAGACTCGATGCATCGAGTCGATGCATCGACTCGATGCTCGATACATACAAATCGCACAGTCCTACATCAACTCGCTTTTGAGATTAAAGAAGATGGGAATTGCATCCTTATGACCTAGATTTAAATGGCTACATTCTGCTACATTAGCATCTACACTCGAAATGACAGGCACTAACCATCGACCACAACTCGCGGCAAAGTCTTTCTTTACCTGTTCCCTGTCATGCACAGTCGCATAGAAGGCGAGGGGTCCCCCACTCGTCAACTCGTTGTACACTTGGCCGCGCCTAACTCGCGTCTAACTCGCGTTCAACTCGCGACAACTCGCGACAACTCGCGAAAACTCACGATAACTCGCGAAAACTCTCGTGAAAATCGCGGAAACTCGCGCTAAAATCGCGCAAAACTCTCTAATAATTGATCTCAACTCGCGGCCTACTCGCGGCAACTCGCCAACTCGGCTACTCGTTGTGCACCTATTTTGGAAGTGGGGGACCCCTCGATAGAAGGTCTGAGACTTAGCGAGTAACTAGAAATCCATGACAGATGAGCTTTGCGGGTCTACCAGGGGCCTGCCTACCAATACCCAAAAGAATTTGGCAAACGGGCCACCATATATAGACGTTTTCGTCATACACTGTTAGAAAAACACACGGTAAACGCCTACGGTCTGCGCTGTAAATTTGTTGCCTGGTCCGGCGCCGTAATTTTTGGTTACGGTCCGTGTCATACAGAACAGACCGTAACTTGAAAAAATGTTGGGGAAGTCGAATACAGTACTTAGAACAAACAAGAGAGTACATTTCGTACTGTTACGGCCTGACCGTACGCTGAAAATACGGTACGGACCGTAGGCAAACCGTAACTGCCTACGTTATTTTTTACAGTGTAATATGTATATTCTTTGGCCTAGGCAAGCGCTTGTGTCCAGAATGACTGTAAGTTGGTTTGTTAACACGCAGGTTGCTGACAAAGCGCGCCGGCAGGTAGGCCACCCACCGGACATCCCGTTCATTTGGGCTGCCTACCTTGGCGGGTGATCGCGAGCAAACCGGCCTCTCTACACTGGAAAAACAGTGGGAGGACTTAGTAACTTTTAGAGGTGCTAAAATTTTAATTATTTTCTAAGGAACAAAAGTGTGCAATGGCATTAATATTTAGCACCTGTGGTGCATATTTGTGCTTCACTCTTTCAGTGCCTCTGTAAAGGTAGGTCACTAAAATAGTTAGCACACCCAAAAGAGTGTTGTACCTTTGTTTTTCCAGTGTCCGGCCCTAGCGATTTATTTGTTTCCTGTTTCAAGGGACTAAGCGTAATGTAGCACTTACGGTAATGGGGAACCCTTTCTAATTTCAACGCTTTCCTCCGAGTTATTTCGCCAATTACATTGGTGAAGGAAGAAAACTGACGATAGTAAACAAACGAAACCATGATGCACGCCAGGCGGCGCGAGTCCGACAATAAAGCAAACGAATGGTGGAAAGGAAAAGGAGAATAGGGAGAAGTAGACGCTTCTATTTAGGAAAAAGCCGAGGGCGCCTAACGATGATACGCCTTTGTGAGTATATAAGACCACGCTCGCCAACGCACACTCACATACACTTACGCACACGGGACAGACACGCAACTCCGGGCCGCGTGCACGCCCTGCTAGGCAAGGAGGGCTTTGGGGCAGCATCGCCGCCTCGCCCGGCCGCGAGTGCGAGAGAGAGCGAGCAAGGGACAAGCCGAGGAAGGGGCAGAGGGGTGCATTTGATTGGCGGAAATAGGGGTAAGACGGGAGAACTGACAGAGTGCCATGGCTGGGGTGCCCCGGCATGGCGTGCAGCTCATCAACACTCTAAGCACCCCTCCGTAAAGCCCCCAGTGGAGATTGAGGCTGTCGCACCATCACCCGGTCCTACCCAGGCCATTCATAACATAAATTCGGCCAGTGTCTGGTGCCTGACGACGGCTGCAGTACTGGGGCTCGTCTCCCAGAAATACGCTGGCCATTCAACGTTGCGATTGCGGTTGTCATCGTGGAAAATTTGACGAGTTCAGCCCGTGCAAGCACTTCTAGCGCCTGCTGGGAAGGCAACATCGTGCGTGCGGTGCATGCGTGTAGTGCGCGGTGGCCTATCCCGAGTCTCGCAGGGGCGGAGCTTCCTTACTTTGCCGAGTGAATCTGAGAAAAACGCACGTACTCTCTGGACGATTCTCTGGGCTGGGGCTGGGAGGCAGGGCGGTTGGGCGGGCCGACGGGTACCTCCAGCCCCGGATCCCTGGTGCCTCAGAGCTGGCTCGACGGGGTTTGGCCGGGCCGGGCTCAACTCCTACGCCATCGTTGCCTTTAAGCCAGCGGGTCAGCTAGCGCAGCCTCGGGTGATAGTGGATCACTCGAGGCACACGGGGCCCTGCCTGCTTGCAGCTGCAGCGGCGCCGGCCGACACCAATCCCGCCCCCACCACTTTCCCTTTGCTCCAAACCCCTTCCCACTCCCCTCGCAACTGCAAGGAGTCCCCACATGGCCCCCGCCTTCACCAGCAGCTGCGGCAGAAACGCGCGCGTAAAATTACCACTAGAAGATTAACAATCCACGACGTCGTGACTAAATTTTTTAACAGCACTAAACGCCGTGAGGCAGCAGGCAGCTGTGCGTTCTATTTGGTCGGAGTGAAGCAGCAGGCTCCTGCCCAAATTGGCAGTGAAATAAATAACAGGCGGATTTCGCATCCATCGCCATCCGGAGCCGCCTCGCCTGCTTTCCTCTCCCTCTCGGCGCACCTGTCCTCCTCCCTGACCTTCTCGTTGTGTGTGAGGACACCCCCCCCCCCCCCCCCCTCCCCTCTACCTCTGGGACACTCAGCTCGCAAAACAAAAGCCCCCTGCTCACCTGCGTCGCGCCACACTTCCGCTCCTGATATCCGAACCCTAACCCTTTCAGAACCATCGGCCAGGAGAGAAATGAGGCCGTCTTTTGTAAGGAAATGACGCAGGGTATCGGTCCAATCACATCTAAAAGTACCTCTTCCGAAGCAAAACAAACAATATTTAATCAACTTACACAAAATCGATTAAATTCCATTAAATATTGTATGAATTGAAAGAAACTTCCAGCAAAATTTAGCTAAAGCCACAAGTGACAGCAGGAGTGTTGGAATGAGCGAAAGGTTACTTCTGCACAGGGGAAACGGCAACCTCCTGTGTAATATTACGGGCCTCCTCCCCCCCCCCCCCCGGATAAGCGATACGGCTCAGGGGCTGCCGCGGCCCCGGTGTGAGGTGGTGAAGGTACCCCCGTGATGCTTGTACCGGAGGTACAATCACCACGTGATAGTCATACCCCCCCGTAAATGCCAACAACACGTGGGGGTATATCTACCACGTGACGGTTTTACCCACCATCGAGAGGGGTAAAACCATCATGTGATAGTAGTACCCCCCATCGAGGG